AAAAAAAGGAAAATATATTGACACCAAAATATTTTTATTTTGTATAGAAACTTTAATGGATATAACAACTTCCATCTCATAATATTACTAAATATCAGAATTACGTTGGATTATTAAATGTTTTTTGATAATTTGAAATGTAAACGAAAGTCTCTTGTCTGAAAGTAAATTTTCATTCCTGCAGAAGCTTCTTTCAACGTCTACTGATGTTATAGATGCATACTTGAAAAAGACGATCTCACTTACTGACAATTCTTCTTCAATTTGAAAAGATTTTGCTTCACCTGTTAATATCCTATAGATTTTCTTCATTGTTTGGAAGCCAGTGTAATAATAAAAATTGATGAAAAATAATAAAAATTGGAAAAAATTAACAAAAAACTTTAAAAAATTCATTAAAATGCAAAATACGCTCCAAAATTTAAAGAAAAATGCCCTATTAGTCTAAAAAAATGCTCTAAAAGACAAAAAATGTCCAAATATGCAAAAAAATGCAAATGTCATCAAAATCCGGGCCTTAGTTATGACATTGTGAATGCCCTAAATTTTGATTTGTGTGCAATTATGCTGGTCTCTAGACTGAACTTTGCACTTTTCTCACAGTTATCACGTTGTTCTGATTTCACTCTATTTTCACTGCATGTGGCAAACCAAAAACTTTAGTGGAATGGTGAGTAAAAGATGAGCTTGTGCACAATTTTAATTGCTAGTTTAAAAATGTTTACTGTTTGAATCAATTGCTGAACCTTTTTTTATGTGTATATCCTTAATTATTTTAATTTATTACTTTTTTTTCCCTTTTTTTTTTCTCCAGAACTGCACAATTTGTTTCGAACCATGGACAAATTCTAGTGAGCATAGATTAGTATCTCTAAGATGTGGTCATTTATTTGGTCGGAGGTAATATATTTTCAGTAATATTCATATTACAAGTATATTCAGTTAATACTTATAATTTTTATGTATTTTTATTAAAAATGTTACATAAATTCATTAATTTTTGTAATATCTTCTTTTCAAAATTATTAGCTTTGTATTTTTTAATTTGCTTTAAAATTGTATTTGTGTTGTAAGTTTATTCGGACATTGGATTAAGAAGAAAAATGTTTGCCTTATAAAAAATTTCATGTGTGTATTATTTTTTTTTCTCTATCTAATATAGTAATTAAGTCTTTGAATTGATCTCAAATTTTGTCTATCTGTAAAAGTTTTCAATTTTCAGAATGAAATATTCTTAAACTTAAACAATCTCCAAAAGTTTCTGTCTATTTTGTTTTTGAAAGATAACATGTTTAAAAATTATTATTTTAAAAAATTGCCTCAAAACGTTTATATAATATTTTATGTAATGTTTCTTTTCTATAAATAAAATGTCTTTAGCTGTATTCCATATTATATGCCATTGTAAAAATAAGTTGTTAATTTATTTAGTAAGTAAATAGTAAAAGTAAGTTATATTTATTCTACTATTGCTTTATCTATATATATACACAAAATGGCAGTGTCTTGAAAATAAAAATACAAAAAATGGTATAGAATAAATAACATTTTTGTGGATTACTCAAACTGATTAAGCCAATCAAAAAATCCTCATCTGCAATAAAAACTATATTTATTATGAACATTGTGCCAAAATTGGAAGTAAGTTGGCTGAAAATAGTACTAGCATAGCTGCCAACTCTACTGATCTTTCCAGTAGACAACTGGGTTTTCCCGATTTCTCCTGGTCTACTGCTTTAATAAAAATACTCCTGGTTTTTTGTGCATTTTTAGAAAATTTACTAAAATTGAGTTAGTTTCTTAAAAAAATCCCTACTGAAATAAAAGTTTTGCACAGATTTTTGCTTGCTTGAATATTTAAATATGTATAACTAATAGATAATGAATTGTGCCTTATTTACCGAAGGCAAAATGGCCAGTTTGAAACTTTTTTTCCTTCTAAAATGTTCAGTTTGTTTTATTCAGAACTCCCTTTTCAATTTATTGTAAAAATCTTTTAATTATCTCTGATGAATTAAATGCTTATTACAATTGAAACATAATTCATAGCATATAAAGTTCATTTAATGTCAATCATAACTGGAAAATATTGAAGTTTTTTCTATTTTGAAGACTATAATAATCCCTAAAATTCTCCATGCATAAAATGCTTAGTAGATTGTGCAATAATTATCATAAAATTTATATTGCGTAAAATCTACTAGATTTTTTCCTATCCATGTTGGTAACTATATACTAGTTAATGATACAGCAAGTAAGGGAAACATAGTTTTGAGAAAATTGCGTTTGAAGTTTTATGATAAGTAATTCATATAAATTTTTGCTACTTACTATAATGCATCAATAACAGGACTATAAGATACTTTTTCTCTGTCATTTTCAGCAGTCTCAAGTGCTAGTTTAGTCTGTTTCTTATTGAACTTCCTCATGTGATGCCTCATATGTTTTTAGCAGCCAAACTTCTACAGCCACATTCTTTTTGAACATATTCTTTAACTGTTGGGCCTATATTTATTTCTAATTAAATTGCTCCAAAATTGTCGAAAACCCTTTGCAGCCTTCATTAGAAATTATTAAAGCTGAATGAGATGGAATTTCAACTATTTATATTAAAATTCTTTTTCTTGTATAATTTAAACAAATTATTTCAATAAAATAATTAAAATAATAGTATTTTATAAAATGTTTTGATATGCATGAGTAAATCCATTAATCAAGTAGGCGCACTAGTTCACATATCACAGCACTTGACATATGCTGTAACTTTTTCATTTATGAAAATCAATTCAATGTTTCTGTATAGTATTCTTAAAGGGATAAACTATCCAAAAATGCAATAATTTTTCTTTTCTTTTACTCTATTCTTTCTCCTTAAATGTTCCCTGCCAAAAAAAAAGTTGGAGGCTGAAAAGAATTCATAACAAAATGGTTTAGAATAATAAATTTGCTAATGACATGTAAACACGGCTAGATATTTCTTTATAATTTCCCATGTTTTTAACTAAGCCAATTTATTATTCCTAATTAGTAATACTAATGTTTTAAAAGTTTTTATTTATTGTTATTTTTTTCTTTGATTTTGTACATGAGTGTAAATTTAATCACCCAGCAAAATTTGTTTCTTAACAAGTAATTAATAGTGACTACATTTTTAAGGTAATTTGTAATTACTACATTTGAAAAACTGGTTAAAGTTATAGTTAACTACATTTGTAACAAACTAAAAGACGTAAATAAATGGTAGTTGTAGTGAAAGTTGACTGCAAAAAAAATTTAGCCTTTTCTGACCACTAGGCATATCAGTTCTATCTAATAAAGTTTTTTAAAAAAATAAAAAACTTTTAGCTATTAGTATATAGTATTTTTGCTATTAATCATTTTTTTTAATTACTATGCAAATGTTCTATTAAAATAATTAAAGATGTTATATAATCAATACCAACACAATCATAGGATTTTAAAAGTCTTAAGTTCAAATCTGACTTTCTATAGGAATTATACATGTATACTTTAAAAGGTATGCATAATATTAATTTTCTTGACATTTATTCCTTTAAGGAATTGGTAAATAGATCTAATATATGATAAATTAATGATTTTGAGTGTTGGAAAACAATATTTTTTAATTTAGTACGAAAAACAGCTTTTTTGTATTTTATTTGTTGTTTGAAAGTATCTTCGTTAGCACATTCATTTTTATATCAGCTGCAATTATACATAAGTAAAAGTGTTTTTTTCTTCCCTTTTTAGTTGTATAACCCGATGGTTGAAGGGACAAAATGCACGTTGCCCACAATGTAATGCTAGAGCTCGAAAGTCTGAGATCCGAAATATTTATGCTAAATCAGTAAAGGTATGTTTTTAAATTTATACTCAAAATACTATTCTAATATATTCATTTTAATTTACCTAAAGTTTAATATAAGGTAGCAATATGAACTTTTATAACATATTATGCATATAATTCCTGACTTATATAATTTGCATTTCTCAATATCTAATGAAATCTTTCATCACCTGTCAGCTTAAAGATTTAAACAGTATACAATGGGCTCCACTCCCAACTAACTGATTTGTAACTATCTAGTTGCCATATTATCCGATCTTGTACAATGTGAGAAATAATAGTGGAGTGGCCATTTGTAAAACTGACTGCTGCTGAAGAAGGAAGAATGCTATGTCATCTATATATTTTGATTCTTTACTTGTCGTAATTTTTTATATTTGTGTAGTTTATTAATAAACATAGAGTATTTTGTATTAATCATTTCTCTTAAAATGTTTTTAACTATTTGGTATTGCTTACCCTTTCGCTGCATTAGACCGTACAATCTGCAGTCTTCTGTATAATTTTTATATGCAATAATGTTGTAAAAAGGCTAAAATTATTGCTGTGAAGGAGTTATAATATTCACTTAATATAATATACAGTACTCGAAGAGGCACTTTCAGTTTTTGACATTTTTCCAATTTTCGCCAGAAATACCCATATTATATCTTTATGGGTGTTTAGGGTATGCGATTTTTAGTACTTATCAATAAATTTTAAAGCTTTCCAAGATTCAAAAGGGCGGCATTAATTTACCAGCTAAAAAGTGTGTTTTTGAACTCTCTATGCTAGAAAATATCGCAATTAGCCTGTGACTTGTAGCAATTACTTTGATTTTTATTTGCAGTAGCTGTCTAATATTTCAGATGCCTAGCTTTAATATTCATTGAAATATCAATGTTTTTATAAAAAAAACTATTTTTTTTTGCTTTATACTTTTCTTACTTTAACTGTAAAAATATTCAACAAAATTTAGCAGCAAACAAAATTAGGCAGTTTTTAATTAAAAATATAATTTTAAAATTTAAAAAAAAAATGCTAAAAATTGCCCAAGATATTAAAGTATTTCAAATTATGATTGAATAAATTTGAAAAATATGTGATAAAATAATTGATAAAATTGCCCAAGATATTAAGTATTTAAAGTATTCCTTTCATACTGCACATGCACAGTATGAAAAGTACAGTAGTTTTCTGAATATGCACAGTATGAAAAGAGTATATTAAATGCTCATATCTTGCACAATTTGTAACTAATTTTTGCAAATTTTAAAATAATATTTTTCTTAATTTAAAATTGCCCAAAAAATTTTCTTTAATTTTGTTGAACATATTTATTTATCGTTAGGAAACATAAGGCAACAAAAATTGGTTGTTTTTTTTCAATAAAAATGTCCATATCTTCTTGAATAAAGCTAGGCTTATGAAATTTTGTGTAGAATTTCTGAAATTTTGCAGATAAAAACCAAAGTAATCATTAAAAGCTTAGTGCTATATTTTCTAGCTTAAGGTGTTCAAAATACTCTTTTTGTTTGTAATTTATAGCCAATCTTTCAAACCGCCTGAAAGCTTTAAACCTTATTAATAAGTATAAAAAATGGCATGTTCTAAACATCTCTAAGATTATTTAATAATTTTCTAAGGATTTTTTGAAAAAATTGAAGAAACGTTTGTTGTATGTCTTGAAATTTTTATGTATTCTCAAACTGTCTTCTTAGAAATGTTAAGCAAGTTAAAAACTAAGTGTGTGTTACTATATATATTTTTTGAAATATTTTTATCTTAAATATGCACAATAGAATGATACAATTTTGATAATCAAAATCTCCCATTCAATTATCCATGTTAAAATAAAAGAAAGTTTTTTTTTGTATATGTTTTTGAATTATTGCATTGTGGTCCTTTTGTTAACTTTTTTTTTTACCCTATAAATAAGAAATAACCATTTTTTGTATCAATCAAATTCATTTTGTATTTATTAAAAAGAAACTCTTCTTACTAAAAGAACTTCTTAATGAAAATTGTGAGGATGTTGAAATAATTTCACCTGAATTCATAAATGACATCAAAGTTGAGGCTCCAACTGTTGAAGAGAGCAGGGCTACAATTAAAAACTTAAAGAATAAGAAGGCTTCGGGACATGATGTTATTTCAGCAGAACTACTAAAAAATTGTGAGCCTACCTTATTGAAAAATTTATTTGAACTTATTACTGACATCTGGCACTCTGAGATTATGCCAACGGATCGGAATATTAGCATTTTGTGCCCAATTCATATGAAAAGAGATCCTATGACCTGTGCCAACTATCTTGGCATTAGTCTTCTTTGTATAACTTATAAAATTCTATTTAAAATTTTATATCTCAGGCTGTTGCCATTTATTGACTCACAAATAGGAAAATATCAGTGTGGATTCTGTGCTGAAAAATCAACTAAAAATCAGATATTTTGTCTCCATTAGATTTTAGAGAAATCGATAGAATTTAACATTGAAGCACAAGGATTTTTTGAACTAGCAATGCATTGTAGACCTTCAAACTGTTTTCTTATACAAATAGCAGCCATTTTTGAATGAATTAAAATAGATCACTCTTGAAAAGTTACTTATTGAAATTATCGAAATTAAGTGTCTATTAGTTAATCAATAATCTGTTAAAATCAATATTTTTTAAGCATATTTTTTTAAAATATTGATTTTAACTTTTTTACTTGCAGCTGAACTTCAATTATCTGAAAATTATAATTCTATTATCTAACTTAATTGGGCTTACGGACTTGGTTTTATGAAGCTTGAAATGTTTATTTATTTGTTAAAAAAGGCTTTAGATTCTTCTGAACGAGACAAAGCTCTTGAAGAATTGCAGAAGGAAAGAGAAACAAGAAGAAGAGTGGAAATGGATTACGCCAGAGAAAAATTGAGTCACATGATGGCTCTACAGGAATGTGAAAGGTTAAAAAAAGAATTAATTGAAACCACTAAGTTGTTACAAGAATATAGGTACCTATTTTTTTTTAAATATTATTACTTATCTTTCTTCTTTTTGAAAGTTTTGGATATCTTGGTCATAAATAGTCTACTCATACTTGCTACTTATATTTATTAATGTGATTAATATTAATTCTAAATATTATAATTACTGACCTCTTTAGAATTATTTCATTTGTTATTTTAAAGTTATTCTATGCTCTAATTGTGTATGAAGACTTAAGGCTAATTGATTCGGAAATAATTATGATTAATTGTCTTATGTTTGCATTTAATCAATGAACCCCGCAGTTTAATTTTTATTAAACTTTATAATTTCTTTCTTTTTTTCGAAAAATAAAAATAATAATTTATGTGATCTTATAAAGCCTTTGTAGAAGTGCCATTGAAAATATTGTGGTCACTATTTTGCCATGGCTGATATCTGATAAGTACACTTATAATAGTCTTAGTTAAAAATTATTTAAAAATAAAATAATAAAAAATTTTTTAAAAAAAATGTGATCACCAAAAGGCTATTACTCTTGAAAAGTGTGATGATATCCAAGTAAGGTGTGCACGCCATCAAACCCAAAACAACACCCATTTTGAATATGGCTAATAAATAAAAGAAATTAATTTTTTTTTTCATATATGATCACTTACTACAGTAAAAAAAAATTCTTTTTTAAGGTACGTTTTAATATATTTGATGAAATCTACTAATAACTTATTTTAATGGCATTTTTGATTTCCTTTTTTAGGGTCTAAAATTGTTTTATTTTTTTATTTTAAGAATTTTTTTGAAAGTTTATTTTGATTTTCCCCTTAACTGTCTTAACTAGTTAATTTTATATTTTAACTTTTAAAATTTTTTTTAAATGATTAAATAATTATTTTTAGCATTTAAAACAAGCTTCCATTTAATCTTTTACTGATGGATCGATGTAAAGCATAGTATATTAGTTACATAAATAGGCATTTTCTTGAAATTTATTTTTAAGCAATTTTCTTTGAATTTTGGTTATCTCAATTTCATTCTTCATGTGTAATAATGTATTGTGATGAGGAATTAATATAATGTACCGTTATATTAATTCAGTTAAAAGAATTTACTTACAGTATTAGATTTCTCAATTAACATGTACTCCTACAGCACACCTCTCCTGAGTGGATAATTTACTACTTCTGAGAGTGTCCGCTTTTTCAAGGTTTCACTGTATATAGTGAATAAAATATCTATGCATGTATATGTTACAGTAAAAGCCCAAAGTCTGGTAACTTCTAGGTTTTACCGCAAAAGCTTGGTAAAAAGCTGAATGAGAATCATATTAAAGCACACTTAAGACCAAGATACTTTGGTAAAAGCTAGATTTTACCAGTAAGAGCTAGGATTTACCATACTTAGGGTTTTCACTGTAACACACACATATGTATATATTTAAGAATGCACAGAGTTTTGATAATAATTTCCACTAAAACTAAGTTACTCAGTAATTTCTTTGAAGTTGGAATTACCAATATATTGTTAAAAGCGCTCCTTCAAGCTCTAAAAGCCAGTTTTCAGCCGAGGTGGTCATGGAAGTTTAAGCTTTGGAATTTCATGACGAACTTCATGATGGTAGCAATGTGATCAGCTTTATGCATTGCAATGTTAACTTCCTAGTCATATCTATCAATTGGACATGCTTTAAGCCGCCACTTGGGGTTAAGTTTTGTGCAGTTTATGATAAAAAATATCGAAGTTATTAAGTTTTTAAGAAGTTATTTTTTCTTAGTATAGTTATTTGTAAAACATCATCTTAAAATTCAAAATATTTAACTGCTTATGATGAGGAGAGAAATGGTGCTCTAATTCCAGGAAAAATTATTAATTATAGGTCTGGCTCTAAACTCATGGACTTGTCTCAANGGTACTATTCTATTATATTCATTTTATATTACCTAAAGTTTAATATAAGGTAGTAATATAAACTTTTATAACATATTATGCATGTAAATACTGACTTATATAATTTACTTTTCTCATATATATCTAATGAAATCTTTTATCATTTGTCAGCTCTAAAAAATTTCTTCAATTTTGTTGAACATGTTCATTTATCTAAACAAAACATAAGGCAGTAAAAGTTAGTTATGTTTTAGCAAAAATGTTCATATCTTCTTGAGTAAAGCTAGGCTTATGAGATTTTGTGTAGAATTTCTGAAATTTTGCAAATAAAAACCAAAGTAATCATTACAAGCTTATTGCTATATTTTCTTGCATAAGGTGTTCAAAATACTCTTTTATGTTCGTAATTTATAGTCTTATCTTTCAAACCACCTGAAATATTTAAACCTTATTCATAAGTATGAAAAATGGCATGTTCTAAAAATCTGTAAAGTTATAGAATTATTCCTTAAGTATTTCTTGAGAAATATCAAAATCTGAAAGTGTCTCTTCCATTATAGTAGGGTAATGTTTTACCCTTTCACGTCTAACCAGACACATACGTCCCAAGCAAATTTCAAAAATATCTTTTGGGACAGAAACACTTCTCTGTCTAATGGGAGACTTTCCCACCAATCCTGCCAATATTTTTGTAGGTATTTTCATTCACAGAACATAGATGGCACTACCGTACATAATGCTGCCCTACTCATAGTTTATGCTACCATAATTGTTCTGTTGTAAAAAAAGAAAAAACTTTGTCGCGAAAGGGTTAATAACCAAATTTTAATTAAGTATACTCAATCGAGGTGCTACATAGGCTATGCAATACTTGCTTAAAAAATTCTAAAACGGTATAAGATATTGTCAAACTTAAATTATTATTTCTTGAATAAATATTTTAATTTTTGTTTTCAAAATTTGTTATAAATATAATTCCTCAAATAAAAATTTGTTTAGAATTGATTGCTGGTTTCTTGCTATTTAAGTTTTATTTAAATGAACAAGAAGAATTTTATCATTCAATATCATTCGTTTTTTGTATGTCAGTTATGATCTTTAAAAAAATATTGAAAATTAATTAATGTTATTTTTTAAGCCAATAAAAAAACATTTATGTATCAAAATAGCAATTATTTTTGTATGTATTCTTAAACTGCCTTCCTAGAATTGTTAAACAATTTAAAACCTAAGTGTGTGTTACTGTATATATTTTTTCAAATGTTTTTATCTTAAATATGCACAATAGAATGATAAAATTTTTATAATCAGATTCTCCCCTCTAATTACCCATGTTAAAATATAAAAAAAGTTTTTTGTGTGCATGTTTTTGAATTATTGTGTTGTGTACTTTTTATAAACTTTTTTTTTAACTTTATAAATAGGAAATAACCATTTTTTGTATCAATCAACATCTTTTATATGAATAAAGAATGACAACTATTTTTGTATGTATTCTCAAATTATCTTAAGATCATATCAAAACATAATAACTATTTTTTTAATTACTCTCAAACTAATAACCTGGAAATATTTAACAAATTAATATTGTTAGAATTAAGTGTGTGTTAGCTATATATTAGCTATCTATTTATCTTGATTATATACAATAGAACTTTGATAGTCAAAACCTTCCATCCAATTTCTTAACTTATATTAAGTTAAAGTTTTATGTTTTTGAACTAGTAATGCATTGTGGACCTTTAAACTGTTTTCTTATAGATAGGAAATAGCAGCCATTTTTGAATGAATTAAAATAGATCACTCTAGAAAAGTTACCTAGTGAAATTATCAAAATTGAGCATCTATTAGTTTATCAATAATCTGTTAAAATCAATATTTTTTGAGCATTTTTTTCAAATATTGATTTTAACTTTCTTACTTGCAGCTGAACTTCGATTATCTGACAATTATAATTCTATTATCTAACTTAATTGGACTTACAGACTTGGTTTTCTTGAAATGTTTATTTATTTGTTAAAAAGGCTTTAGATTCTTCTGAACGAGACAAAGCTCTTGAGGAATTGCAAAAGGAAAGGGAAACAAGAAGAAGAGTGGAAATGGATTACGCCAGAGAGAAATTGAGTCACATGATGGCTCTACAGGAATGTGAAAGGTTAAAAAAAGAATTAATTGAAACCACTAAGTTGTTACAAGAATATAGGTACCTATTTTAAAAAAAAATTTTTAGATACTTATAATATTTATCTTTCTACTTTTTGAAAGTTTTTTTTATGAAAGTTTAGGATATCTTGGTCATAAATTGACTGCCCATACTTGCTACTTATATTTATTAATGTGATTAATATTAATTCTAAATATTATAATTGCTGACCTCTTTAGAATTATTTCATTTGTTATTTTAAAGTTATTTTTTGCTCTAATTGTGTATGAAGGTTTAAGGCTAATTGATACAGAAATTATTAATAATTATTTAATCAATGAACCACACAATTTAATTTTTTATTCAACTTCATAATTTTTTCCTTTTTTTCAAATGAATGAATGAAAAATTGTTTTTTTTCCCCTTCTATTTATGATCACTGATTACAATAAAAAAGATTTTTTTTGAAAGTATGTTTTAATATCTTCAGTACTTAAATCTACTAATAACTTATTTTAATGGCGTTTTTGATATTCCTATTTTAGGGCCTAGAATTATTTTATTGCTTTGTTATTTTAAGAATTTTATTGAAAGTTCATTTCGATTTTTTCCTTAGTTGTTTTAACTGGTTAATTTAATATTTTATTTTTTAAAAGTTTTTTTAAAATGTTAAATTATAATATAATTATTTTTAGCATTTAAAACAAGCTTCCATTTAATCTTTTTCTGATGAATTGATGTAAAGCATAGTATGTAGTTTAAAATTTTCTACTTTTGAGAGTGTCCGCTTTTTCAAGGTTTCACTGTATATAGTGAATAAAATATAAATGTATTTATATGTTACAGTAAAACCCCAAAGTCTGGTAACTTCTAGGTTTTACCTCAAAAGCTTAGTAAAAATCTGAAATAGAATCATATTAAAGCATACTTAAGATCGAAATACTTTGGCTAAAGCTAGATTTTGCCAGTAAAAGCTAGGATTTACCATACTTTGGTTCTTCACTGTAACACACACATATATATATTTAAGAATGCTTAGAGTTTTGATAATAATTTCCACTAAAACTAAGTTTACTCAATAATTTCTCTGAAGTTGTAATCACCAATATATTGTTAAAAGTACTCCTTCAAGCTGTAAAAGCCAGCTTTCAGCCGAGGGGGTCATGGAAGTTTAAGCTTTGAAATTTCATAACGAACTTCATGATGGTAGCAATGTGATCAGCTTTATGCACTGCATTGTTAACTTCCTAGTTAAGCTCATGCCTATCAATTAGACATGCTTTGAGCCAACACTTGGGGTTAAGTTTTGTGCAGTTTATGATAAAAATATTGAAGTTATTAAGTTTTTAAGAATTTATTTTTTGATAAAATATCTTAAAATTCAAAATATTTTATTGCTTATGATGAAGAGAGAAAAGGTGCTCTAATTCCAGGAAAAATTATTAATTATAGGTCTGGTTCTAAACTCATGGACTTGTCTCAAGCAGCAAAAAAGAACAGCTCAATATTCTCATTAGACAAAAGTATTGAAATCTTTAAAAATGGTGGCTGTAGAATTGTTGATGTCTGTGATTTGCTAGGTTTGATTTTAGTTTCCCAACCTACCAACAATGACATGTTTCCTGGACATGGGTTTCGAAAAGTAAGATAATTTCTCCTAAATTTTTTTTAAGGTTAAATCTTTAAAGAGTAATAACTTGATGAGAAAAATAAAGAAAAATTCTAAAGAGAGAATAAATTCTAAAGAGGACTAATACAAAAATTACATGTTAATTCATTTATAAAGTGAACTTTAAAGCCAAATTATTAAGTTACTGTATTTCTAGAAATATCTGAAGAAAGTATTTTTAAATTATTTTGTCATTGACAAGTTAATTGTTTTAATATTATTTTTACAGCCATTTAAAAATGTAGTTCATTGTAAAGCTTTTAATATGATTATGAAATGTTATTTTCAAAGAGTCAGAGTTAAATTATTTTAAATTATTAAAAATTATTTTAGTAGAATAAAATAAAAATATTAATGCATTAATTTCTGAAAAAAGTAAAATATTTTAGCTCTCACTATATTTTATATGTAATATCAAAATAATTTTAAATATGTTGAATATTTTGATAAAAGTTCTAATATTTAGACTTGGTGAAAATAAAAAATTACTTGGGGAAAGATCCTTTATTACAAATTAGAATTTTGTGAAATTGTTCTTAACTTTGTAATGGCTCCTTAAAGCAGCCTCAATTTTGTTTGGGTCGTCCCCAAAGCTAATTAAATTGCTTATCTTAAAAAATGATTTAATAACATACCACTCAATTACCATAAACTTGTTGCTGTGCTGTGTTTTTTAATCATCTTCATGTGACTTTATGTCAGCAGAAGAATTCAGATGTTAGGTTGTCCTCAGTACAAAACAACGTGAAAATACAATTTTGACCTGCCTTTACATTTATTTTAACCCTTGTTATTCATTTATAAAGATGTGCAATTTCTCTTTAACAAATAATTTTATGTTTGTCGAGATAATTTAATTATGTTAGTGTTAAATTCTCTAATTAGATACCCTTATCATTAGTCATTTTCACTCAAAGATTTGTGATATTCTTTCATAGATCGCAGCTCAGGAAATGAAGCTGGCAGAGTTTGTATTGGTTCATCAGAAGCCTATTAAAGATATGGCCTTTCATTCTCATGATGGTTTAGTGTTGACAGCTTCACTTGACAAGACTGTGAAAATCACTAATGTTTTGACAAACTCGGTAGTTCAAACGTAAGCATCAATCTTTTTAATGTAAATATTAAATTGCAATTTTTTGAATTGGAGTGGTAAAAAGAAATCTTTCTGTTCTAACTATTTTCTAAACATTTGACTTGGTGCCCTCTCTCTTCCTGGCGACATAGAAATACTTTAATTCTTAGGAAATTTGAAAATGCCTGTGGGAAGCATAGCATTCTCTGCAAAATTTACACCAATGCTGGGAATTTTGAAAGTGTTAGTAATTAATAATATGATGATCACACATAATTTCACAAGTTGCTTTCTATCTATTATTCGATATTAAAACTGTTTTATTTTGCTAGTCATTTGGTATAAACATTGATCCAGTGATACTGTAATCGGGGCTATGCTTTTCAAAAATTCCAATTACTAATTTTGTTATTTCTAACAGACAAGCATTTCTTTATTTATATTGAATTTCTTAAAGAATAAATATAAAAAAACGTATGAATTGATTATCAAAAATATCTCCAACTTTTGATAAAATTAATAGTTTTTTTTTATGTCATGAAATTTTTAAGTATGTAGCAATAAACAATTTTAGATTTAAAAGTTAACAATTAACTAATTTACTTATTTTGCATTTATACTTCAACTCTCAATACGTCTAAACACATTGGTAATTTTTAAAATTTTGATTAAAAACTACAGTGATACTATATTCAGTGCTATTTTTTTTTTTAAAAAATTCCTATTAATAATTTTGTAATTTCTAACGAACAAGCATATCTTTTTTTAAATTGAATTCAATAATAAATTTAGGAAAAACAGCTATGAATTGATTTTCAAAAATATCTCCACCTCTTGATAGAATTATGTTATACTTATTTTTGTCATGACAATTTTAAGTATATAGAAATGAACAAGTTCATAAAGATAGTTTAGATAAATAAAAAAAATTTTGTGCTTTAATTCTCAATGCTCATAAACACATTGGTAATTTTTTTAATTTTAATTAAAAACTACAGTAATTTAAAAAAAGAAGTATGAAATTTGACAAAAAATTGCAGGGAATTTATTTCTGACCGGAGAGTGTTTTTATTTTTTTTATCTTTAATTAACAAGACAACGGTTTTGGATTTAATCAAGATCTAAAGAAGTATTACCAGAAAACCACTTTCTGGTAATACTTCTGAAAAAAAGTGGTTTTGAGAGTTCAAATTAAGAAAACGAATACCAAATCCTGTTATGGCTTTCAGTAATCTTTTAAAACTGCACTATCAGAGGTGAATTTTCTGACTTTTGACAAATATATATTTTTTTAATATCTTTGAAACTGAGTGAATTATAGCAAAATAAAAATTAAGAAGTAATATTAAATAATAAAGTCTGTTACTCTATCTTTAATACTTATATTGATATTCTCCTTTAAAAAAATTTTTTTGTCTGAGTGTTGATCGATTTTATTTAAAAATTGAATGTTTTGAAAAAAAAGAACTTTTAAATCTGGGGTGAACACAGATTATTTCATTTTTTGAAAAATATTTTTAAATTTAATTTGCTTAGCATGTTTATATTAACGAGCAAGACACTCTTTATTTAATAATGAAAAGTTACTGATTCATTAATAAAGGAAGATGAATAATTATGTTTCTTAAGCAATCATATAGATATAAATTTATATTTTTTATTTTTGAAAAAAATTGATAGTTTTTATTATTAAAGTATAAAGATCCCCATTTAAATTTTTGGTTTATTTAAAAGTTAAATTGTTTTAGAAACTTTATGACAATATTTGCTACTTTCACTATTTTACACTAGGTTATTTGTTTTTTTAACTGCATTCATTAAACAATTTTATGGCCATTCTGATTGGTCTTGTTTATTTTAACTGTTTTTGGACCCCTAAATTGCTTCAAATCAACTCAAATTTTGCTCCAATTTGTTTTAAATGTCCTCTAAAACAAGACCTGTTTCCCTTAAGTACTTTTCTTGGGAAAGTGAGTGATTGCTTTTACTGTAGCTTGTATTGCTTCTAAACTTTTACTGCTTCAATTCTAATTATTTAATAATTAATTTCCTGTTACAATTCCAATTAGGAAAAGATTATTGATTCTATCTTTCATCAAAAGAGTAAGTAATAGTTTGCTTATCAAAATAAAGTAAAATAAATTTCTCATCAAATACCTTTTTTTTATTTACTTTTTTAAACACTATTCTACAATTAAAACACATTTCACTTTTTCAACCCTCTCCTATTTATGTTATACTATATATGCTTTAATGTCATTAAGTTGATTAAAGTTTAGTTTTGAAATTATTTTGTTTGTGCAATTTTTATAACTTTAAAACATGGAAGATATTGCATTAATTAACAGCTCATTGGTGTTATCTCTTGTGATGTTTTAACCCCATTTTCGTTAAATATGTTATTTCCAATGTGATGTATCTACATCAAAACTAAAAGCTATATTAAATTGTTCTTTTCTAAAAAGCTTTTAAACTTGTTTATTTAATTTATTTGTGCTAAAAAAGGCCCTTAATGCAGAACTTTGTGTGTTTAATGTCCTTAGCACTGAAATTCATGTGAGGAATATTTGAGAAGGGCAACTTTTATCATGCATATAATCCAGATCTACCTTAAAATATATTTTGCCAATTTTTAAAAAAATATTTTTTTTGCTAAACACTTAACAAACTTTTTTGAAGCTAATTAGTAAATTTATTGAAATTCAATACCAACTGTTTGAACAAGAACTTCTTATTAAAATAATTTTTCTTAATTCATGTAAAACTGTTATTAACAATGATGACAGAATTACATGCTTAAAATGAATAGCTATCAAAAAATATATTGTTGACTTTAAAAGTAGATTTTTTTTTTAATTCAGTAGTATGTAACAGGAACTATTTAATTTATATATTCTTCTGACTATCAAAGTGAATTTTTTTCTAAATTGTGACAATTTGTTGTTAAGATTTAGACTTAATTATATGCTGTGAGTACAAGCTTCATAAAATCGTTATTGAAAAATTTTTAAACCTTGATTTTTAAATATTTATGATCATAATATTAACCTAACCAATAAAATTATTTAGGTATTCTCTTGATTGTGATGCATGGAGTTGTGCATGGGATTCTGATGATCCTATGTATTTCTATGGTGGTTTGAGGAATGGTGGAGTATTGTTGTTTGACATTCGTGTTACAAGCAGATCTGTGAATGAATTGCCTAGATTTGGTAGTAATACGCCTGTTGTTGCTATTCAATGTCTCCGTAAACTGTCTTTATCTAACCCCAGGTTTGTCTTTAATTTCTAAATTCAAAGAAAAAAATTTAACTAACTTTAGTGGCATGTGATATGAATTTTTTTAATACTTTTTTTTTGTCTACCTTTAATGTTGATTGTTTTGTGATTGTATTGTAAATTATATGTTTTAACTGTTTGTTTTGTGGTGTTGGATTGAATGTTTAATATTCCAATTCTGTGTTGCAATCAATGAAATGTGTATTTCATTTTCAAACTATCAGTTATATATTTATTTTTAAATGTTTAAGTTCAATGAACTATTTAGTTTATAAAATTGTGTAAAAATTCCAATTAATTTATTTCCTTCAATTTCTCTAATTTTCTTGTTAAAAATTATAAGTACTAAGTACAAGTAAAAATTATAAGTATAAGTACTAAGTACATAATGAGATTAACATTACAACAGAAGGAAATTAAATTGTGTAATTATTACAACACTGGTATCTTGGTTACGTATACGCTCTGACTTTCTTGGAACCAAAATATTGTCTGCTTATGAGAGTTGCCCATTGCAGGACAGGTAGACTAATAACGAAGCTAAAGCCATAAATTTTTAAATATGATTCAGGGTTACTACAGGCGACTGAAATGCAATTATTTTTGGTATGAGGCGACTATTTTCGGGAAGAGGAGACTATTGGGAAACTTTTCTGTTCTCCTAGCAATGTTTTTTTAAGCATAAATTGGGTTTAAAATCTGCGGCTCGCGATAGCTTTAAAACACACTGAACTTTCTTTTTTTTCTTTTTTTTTTTAAAAAAAAAAAAAAAAATTTGAATTGCGAATTTGAGTCTTCACTTTTTATTTTGTTCAATCTGCAGATTCCTTTGTAAGTCTATTTTATTTCTTGGTCACCTTTTCAATGGTTATTGCTTCGAATAGCCGCATGATTTAAAAAAAAAGACATTTTTCAATATGATATTATGTAATCACTTTTCACAATATATATATTTGATATCTATCTATATATATATATAAGTTCAAAATGAACTTATTATTTTTCTTAACTTTCCTTGCGTTTTCTTGTATTTAGGCTACTAAAAGCAACTATTTCGCGAATTCTTTTTCTGTGGCAACCCTGATAATTGCTAAATATATTTACTCAAACTTAACAAAATTATATTATTTACAGGGCAAAAAAAAAACAAATATGTAGAAACTGTATATATATACATATAGGTTTATATACATGTATACATAATGGTTTTTTCATAAAAAATTCTCAAGGAATTAAAAAAAATGCCTGTAGTGAGAGGCATCTGTTTTGTAAGAGTGTCTGTAACAATGAGGTTTCAATGTAATACTTTTTTAGTTAAAATGAATAATTTTAATCTATACCTTATGAAATTTTAACTATTTCCTCTCTCATCTCTTAGCATATTTCTATAATTTGAAAGCAAAAAAAATTTGTATATCTAATTATAAGTTAGGATTTTCATTGAGAATCTGGAAAAAAGTTTTTACCTAAAAAGATGACTTTTATGTTAATAATATAAGTTTCGTGACCTAAGATTTACCAATCAAGTTTTCTAACAGTTTCTCTAACTAAAATAAAAGTGTAATTATCCTTACAACTTTAGCAGTAAAAAAAATGACACATCTTTTTTACACAATTTTTTTAACATTTTTTTATTTTTATGATAAAATATCTTTCTGTACTTCAGTAACATGCAATTTTTTTTTAAAACTCTTCTTTTGATGATCTTATATGTAGAAAACTATGCTTTGACTTGTATGTTTTTTCTCATAACAAACCAATTTCTCTCATCTTATGAATGAAGAAAAATTTTATATATTATTGAAGGAAGAATATTATTAAATGAATGAAATCGATTAGAACAGGTTTCGTCCTTCATTTTATCGAAGAAAGAATGGGAAACAAACTACGCCAAAAATCTTCTGCTGTACCGAAGGCAATAATCAGTTTTCATTGACGGAAGGCCTAGGTCTATAAAGAGCTGTCAAGTCCTGTTTATAGAAGAAATTGTTTAGATTTTTCCTGCTTGTATGAGCATTAAATATAAAAAAAGAGCAATCTTAAGTTTCTTATTTCCTAATATTAGTATGAAGATAAAACTATATTTTAAGAATCATAGTTATGTATTACATATTTAACTTGTATTTAAATGATTAATATCATTCAAACTAAATATATTGATGCTGTAATTAAATGCAATGAATATTTTTTTTAAAAAAATATGTTTGCATTGAAAAACAATATTTTAAAATTAGGTTGTTAGAGAATTTGTGTCTCTAAAAATTTAAATATATTCATTTATTTGAAATTTATCCATGCTTTCTCATTTGTAGTAAAAGTGGACCTGTTGTTGGAAAGCTCTCTGATTGTAGTTTTTATCAAAAACTAGATGAAGTAGGAGACTACAAAATTCTTCCATTACCATGCTTTGGTAATTTTATAATTACATATTTTAATCTAGCTTTATATATTATCTAGTAATTTGTTTATTTAAATACTAAAAGTTTTATATTTCTATTTTAATTTTTAATATTTCTATTTTAATTTATTGTTTAATAATTATACATCATTAATATTTTATGTGTTCTTAGTAATATTAAAACCAATTCTTGTTTGAAGCTAATAAATAAATATTACTAGTAGTATTAATTCGCTGGCTCTTTTTAATGTTCATGCTTTTTTATTAGGTCCTTTTACATCACTTAGTTCAGAACTAACATCTGGCCATTTTTTGATTTCTTGCCGTCCTTCTGTCAAACAACCTCGTGTGTCACACATGGTATGCATTCTTATTGTGCTAACTTAAATTTCTGTTCTAATAACTTGTATGGTATTCTTTCTCATTGAATTTCTCTCTTTTTTTATTAATAATGAATTATTTAGTTGCTTATGTAATATTCATTCTCATAGAATTTACTTTCTCTTATTTTTATTATTGATTGGCTGAATACCCGTTCTTCATATAGAGTGGTAAAAAATATGCAATTTATATGCCAATACCGTACAACATTCTGAAATCCTGTTCATCTTCTAAATAGGTTAATACTTTTCTCCATTAATATTGCTTTTAACATAGCTTATTTTTAATTTCTTTTAGTATTTATTACCAAAATTAAGGAACAATAGCTTCAATAATGATATGGGCATTTTTTAACTTTTTTCCTAAACAATTTAGTAGAGTTAGATTTGTTTTATAGTACAGTAGGGAACCGATTATCCGGAATGGTAGAGACCATCGCTATTCCGGATAACTGATTTTCCCTGTTTTCAGAATCGCTACAAAAAGCCGTTTTTTTTTATTGTTAAACCCAACTAAAAAAAAAAGAAAATTGGAAATAATCTTAAAAATAAGAAAAAACGATGAAGTAATACATTAATGATTATTTCCAAAATGATGGTAAGGTAAACATCTTTAAAAAAAGAAAGAAAAATCGTAAAATCTTATGAGGAAAAAAAACAAATTTTTTTTAAAAATGGTGAGAAAATTTATAGAATTTCGTTCCGGCTTTTTGGTTTTCTGATTTCCGGATGACGGGTTCTGTACTGTACATAGCATATTTTTTTTCATTTCAGCTAGTACTTATTACCATAATTAATAAAGCATCTTTAGTGTGTATAATGTTATGTTTTTTTATGTTTCACTTAAACAAATAAGTACCATTTCTTCATTGCTCTTTCTCTTTAGTGTGCAACTTATTTTTTTATTTGAATTTTTACTTCAATAACAAAATTAATTGAACCTCAGTGGAGTCAATAATAGTATGATAATTTTTCATGGTTTCTCTAGAAGAATAAGTTCCTTTTCTCCATTAATTTTACTTTCTAAACCCTAGCTATTTTTTAAATTAAATTATTAGTTAATCACAAATTTAATTTGAGCATTAATGGTGTCAAGAGTGTCGATTTTTGTTATGTTTGTCTTATACGAATTAGTACTATTTCTTCTTTAATTTTGCTTTTCTATACATAACTTAATTTTTATTTGTTTCAATTACTGTTGATTTTAAATTATTTAGTTCTACTTTTCTAATGCATATCTATAAACAGACTAATTTTGTGATTTTAGATAACTTGTAAAATGCTAATTAAGTGACATTATCTGCCTATGCTATCATGTTCATGTTGTAAATTGTGTTTATCTGACCGTAATGAATAAAGAATATCTGACCATAATGAATAAAAAATAATTAAGTACTAATGAATGTGCTAAACTAAAAACTAAGTCAAAATTTTGATAGATTTTAAGATTCGGGGCTAAATTTACCCCTTGCAGCTGTTGTGTCCAAGTTTCATATTAATAATACAAAAAATTCTGGAATTATAAGTAATAAGTACATATACATGTTTTAAATATGTTTAGACAATTTAGATAACTGAAAATTTCAAGTTGTGATCATTGTAATTTTTTATATAATGTTGGTTGAGTATCATAAATAATTGACAAAAATCATTGATTCTTTGCTGCATAAATAAAACTATATGAAAGCTAGGGCTAATATTTAGGTTGTTAATTTCAGTTTGTATAGATGTTATTAAATTACAGCTTAGTAAATTTCCGTTTATAATGGCATAGTTGCCGATTCTACTGGATTCACCTGTAGACTACTGGATTTTGCCAGTTTTTCCTGGTCTACTGGTTTAATAAAAATTCTTCTGGTTTATGTAAATTTTAAATAATTTCCTAAAATTGCTTAAGTTTTCTAAAATGAATTCCTATTGATATAAAATTTTTGCACAATTTATTGTTTGGAATATTTAAACAAGTGTTACTAATACATAATGTTTACTTTTATTTTGAACTCTTTTTTAAAAGAAATTAATTTTAAAATATTTTAACGGTCAGTAATAAATTGTCTATTACTATTTAAAATTATGAGGGAAACATTCAAATTTAAGTTAATTTAATATCTATCATAAATGTAAAATATTGTGAACCATTTATAGTTAGTTGTGTAATAAAGTTTTTGCATTTTAAGGACAATAAAAATCCCTAAGATTTCCTGTATGTAAAATACAGTACACTCTCGATTATCCGTGCTCCTTTCGGAGTCGCAAAATTTTTTTTTAAAGAGACACATTTTCAAGATTATCATGCATGTAAAATATACAAGGTCTGGCTATTAATTTCCAGGACTCCTGGAATAACTCAGAAGAAAAAAAAGTTAAACACATAGCCATTTAATATTATTCGAAGTAATCCCCATCAGCCGTAATGCACGTCTGTNAAATATATGTTGATATGAATAGAAATCTTGTCAAATCAGCCTCGCCATTTATTAATAGAATATGAATCTAATGTTTTTTATTGATAATAATCTCTGCAATAGTAAGTTATGAAGTTATAACACTTTTTGAAAGCAATATTCATTATTGGAGGCAGTATATTAGCAGCATGGTCAAAGGTAAAATCGTCTACGTTATCACGATCGTGGAGAAAGATCATACCGCTTGATCTTCTTATATTGAAGAATATGATAACAGTATTTTTGAACAAAGAAAAGAAATCATAGGCTTAGAAATTCTTGATGAAGAAAATTTAGAAGATTCATTTCAAAGTGTATGTGAGCTTGACTTCCAGTATTTAACAGATGAGGAAATTGTTACTAACTGTGTTGTTAAATCAAATAGTGATGATAGTACTGATGCAGAAGATGTAATAAATGAGGGAAATACAATTCCTGATTCTGCTGCTCTACAATCTGTGGAAACTTTATTAGATTGATTATATGGGAGAACGAGGATTTGATTACGGTGACGTTACTACGGTACGTAAAATATGTG